CCGAAATCGTTTGTTTCCCGCACATTTGCTCACTGCCAGCTGATCGTTTGTTCAGCTGCTGTCCATGACACATGCTAATGGCAAAATAGTTGGTCGAAAACATAACTGTCATAGTAACTGCATTCAGTTAAGTTGTGTGTTGTCAAGGAATGTCTCTGCAGTTGGTTCAAAGTACGAATGACAAACCGAATTAACTCCATTTTGGTGCCTTGTTCATCAAAGGATAAGGAAACAAAAAAAGATTTTATGGCAGAGTGAACTAAGCCGAAAGAACAAATGACTCTCCAGACTGCCCCCATCGGGGAACATAGTAAAAAAACCATATTGCTGATGCCGCCACAGTCGAATTAGTGATTTGTCGAGGAAGTAAGGAAACGCTCCATAATTTTTCAGAATTCTACCAATAAAGTAGTGACAGTAGCTTCTTCGGGACTGTCAGAAACAGTAGCCAGAAACTGCCATTTATCCGTAGCATGTAGCAGTTAATCAGGCGGCAGAGAGGCGGGTCACTCGTTAGATTACCAGACCCAACCAGCCTAACTGATTTGATACTGCCGGGAGAATGCAGGCAGACGTTTGCTATCGAGGATTTCCTTGTGTGCGACAGCGGACGGAGTAACGATCGTCTGCCTTTTTTTTCACTAGGAATGATTTACGACTGTCGTCACAGTCATTCAACGACTACGCCGATGGATCATTCGAAACTATCTCAGTTGTTTCAGCAACCGTACATAATCCACGAAATACGCTACTTCAACACCGTACCGACGGTATTTGGTTTGCTGCCGGACAAAGCTGAGTTATATAGCAATTTGACACCCTGAAACATTAGAACCAGATTTGGCATCCCAGTCGGTACTGACTGATTTCGAACATGCGTCCATTAACGCTTTTCAGAGATGCTTTCCAAATGTCCTGCATTGCGGGTGCTTCTTTCACTTCGGTCAGTCCAATTACTGAAGCATTCAGGCGAACGGTCTCCAGTAAAGATACTTAACGGATGCTGTCTTTGCTTTAAAAATCCGAATGCTCACTTTACTATCCTTCTTACCATTGCAGCACGTCCCGCGAGCATTTTAGGCCGTTTGAACAGCTGATTAAACTTATTGTATTATCATAATGGTTGGTTAATATTCTGGTAAATAATTCGAATAACTCGAAAACTGAACGCTAACGTCAACACACCGCGCATCAAGCGTTTAAATTTCTTTGCACACAATTTAATTACTGGCTAAATGGCCTCGTGCTCGTAGAAAATTTTTGTTGTGTTATATAGAATGTACTTATGTAGTAATGCAGTAAACAGTAAACAGATTGCAAATTGCAAAATAAGCGCTTCATAAAACTGTCATGAGTTGTACATTCCTATTTTATAACTGCGGAAACAAACGTTACTTAACAGCCCATTCGTTAGATTTTGCATAATGAAAGTTGATCCGAGAGACAGCGAGCGACTGTACTTACAAGCATCTGAGCGGCTAACCGCTGTCGGAAACTAGGTGCGTGTATGAGCAAATTTCACTATCGACCCCTGTCGA